GTTGGGAGGACCAAATGGCGGTCCACAGCTGTGGTCATTGTTGGGGTCGGGCATTAGCTCCTATTGGTTAGAGTGAGACAGCAGGTGAAGTGTTACATCAGCTCAATGATTGTGTGTGTTCAGGTGTCTCTGAGCTGCTATGTGTGCTCTAATGATGTCACTCTGCAGCCAAAGTCTCCGCCCATCTGGAGACTGCTGTGGGTGTCTGTGTGGGTGGAGCTTACCCCCCCACCCCCTCCTGGGGGAGTACTTTTGAGGAGGCGGGTCGGCAGCGGCTCACAGCTCCAGCAGCATCAGCACCCTCCTCTTCGTCCTCCTGAGCGGCGGCAGAGCGACAGGCTGGAGTCCTGGTACTCGTACACTCACTGGTTCCCGATGGCGTCGGGCCACGTGATGAAGGACGACGGCGAGCCCATCCCCAGGATGCAACCGGCCATGATGATGTTCTCCAGCAAGTACTGGTCGCGGCGCGGGCTGTCGCTGGACTCGGCCATGTTTGACCAGCAGCATCAGCGGCAGCGGCACACCGGCGGACAGATGGTGAGGAGTCTGGGTACTTTTACTCGAGTACTGTAGCTGAGAGCAGCTTCAGGACTTTATTGATCGCTCAAAGTCAGACTAATCTATTTCTACGTTCAGTACTTTGTTACCTTAATTGGCTGATCACACAACCTTCTTGCTGAAGAGCCTCTGAGCAAGGCAGTAATCCCACCAGCTCAGAGTATTGATCAGCAGAAACAGATCAAACGATCAGTACCTGAAGATCCACACTCGACCCTCTGCTTTATGGAGGAACAAATGTGCCAAAAGAAATCTACAGGAACCAATGAATCTGACATGAATGAATGTTACAGAGTTCTTTCTGTGATACTCGTGATTTACTTTCACTTTAATTATTCCTTTTATTTCTGTTTTTATCTCTGCACCTATTTACATCTTTTTCTAATGACAGGAACAAATGCAAATACAATTTAAACCCCAGCATGAAACAGCCTAAAGTGGTGTTTCTGGACTGTATTTAAGCAATATTTCTTCTTTTTCTCTGGGCCAACATGAGAAACCTGCAGTCAGGCTGATGGCTCTGCATCGTTTACATCACACGTTAAATATTCCCTCCATGCAGCTTTGCAGGCAGCGTTTTCCTGCCAGTCGGCTCGCAGGGATCGAAGTTCGTCCACAATCCAGATAATGTCCAGGCTCAGCATGAGGTAAAGAGTAGACTCAGAGTTGTGCGTCCATGCTCACGGTGGGGTCTTTGCCTTCAGAGTAAGCAGCGTGTCGTGCGTGTCGTCGGTTGCCGTCGGCAGCTCCACATCTTTATTTCATGACACTAACAGCTGTCAGAGCGAGCTGCTTCACGCCGTCGTGTGTTTGAACAGCAGCTCTGGGGAAATTTGTCGCCGTCTGCATCAGATAACGCTCCACGCCTTTATGAGGCCGGCCTATCAGAGGGAGCGATCATACTGATGGCGTTACTGAGAGGAAGTCA